TACATGCGCCATGTTTTGTGCTTAACACAAGCGGCTCCCTTTACTTATTTCCCATGCGCTCTGTCTTGTGCCCAACACAAGCGGGCCCGAAAATTTAATGAACCAGCCGGTGACGCCCATTCGGGTGAATTCATCGAAGAGAAGATCTCCCATTTGGGTGGAAAATTGTTCTAGCGATAAAAAATCAGGCGGCCCTAACCGCCTGATTGATCCATAGCACCAAAGAATTGCGGGTTAGCATTCCCAAACATGTATCCGGCCCCCTCTTTGGATCGAGTACCATTTCAGGCTGATCTCAAAACAGACAGCCGGTACCTAATGTCCCGCTTAATCAACTAAGAGAAGGCAGGCAGGCAAACATTTGGGTTAGGCCAATAATTTATGAAGGGTGTTCTTGCAAAAACCTAACCGGCAATTGTTAAAAACGGTTGGCACTTAGCACTTAGCTAAAACCTTAGCATTTGTGCTATAGCATATGGATAGCCGCCTGACACCATTTCGTCTATACCAGTCTCCTATCCAGGGGCAATTACCTACCCTAACCCCAACAAGTCATGCGGAAAAACATTCATGGTTTGAATTTTTGAAAAAGACCAATACTCATGGTTGCTACCACCATAGTTTACACAAGGCAAAAAATAGAATTGCTTGCGAAGACCCAGACGGCAGAGATACCGGCTGGGTTCTCTTGCCTACCCTCGCAAATTTCTTTGCCTACCCTTACAAATTTCTTTTCCTAGCTTGCGAAGACACAGACGGCGGTGACGCCGGCTGGGTTTTCTTGGCTATCCTCGCAAAATTATCAAAGCAAGAAAGATGCGACATTCAAGACATTCAAAACAGCAAAAATGAAAAGAAGCAAATTCATTCAAAACCGGACCAACCGGTTGAAATATAGCACAAATAACCGGCATAGCCGGTGAAAATGTTAAAATTGTTTACAAGATAAACCAGCGCAGCCGGTGAAAATATCAGTGCTCAAAATAAAAAACAATAGCAGAGTAATCCGACCCTTCCGGCGCTATTACAAGATAATGCACGGCACGCAGGCCGGGAGGTCGTTGCTACTCTACATTTAGTGTTACCCGGTCGCCCTGAGCCTGGCTCCTTTCCGGATGAGCTGGGTCGGTGTTGGGGACGGAGCCGGGAGCAACCTCATCCTCGACCGTCGCCTCCAAAGCTGCCGCTTCCGCCTGCATTCGCTGGAACTCGGCTTCCACCCATTGCTCATATGGTCCGGGCCCCGGCTGGCCCTCCTCTTCAGCCAGAATGGCCAGGTCTGCATACTTATAGGCGAGCTCCCAGACGTTGTAGTCTGCACCCGGGTGGATGATGGAGAACGCCCACTTCATTCTGTTTTGGCAGTCCTGCTCATTCTCCTCGATGAGCCGGCTCTGATCAGCCTCTAGGGTGGACTGGAAATTGCGCTGAGCTTCGGCAGCCTCCTTGACCAGGCGGTCATTCTCTAATTGTAGCCGTTTGCTGCTCTTCTCCGCCTGGTCGAGCCGCTTGAGGGGCTCTTCATGTTTTTTCAGCTCGTCTTTAGCGCTATCCAGGGCCGCCTGGAGGTTGTCCATTTTGAGATTTTGCTCCGAGAGGGCCCGTTGGAGGGACTTGACCTGATCCGCCTGTTGCATTATTATAGCTTTAGTTTCTAAGTCATGCACAATCATGGAATACGATTTTACCCGCATGGGTATGTCGAGCAATGTGAGATCGAAAGGGTTTGTACCTTATTGGGAAGCCTTTTGGCTTTCAAGAGCAGATGGACCGGTTGCGGTCCTTATTGGAGTGGCCTCTAAGGCCTTCTCAGTGTTAGACCCGCCTGGGGTCTTTATTGTTTTACCGCCGGTTGTAGCCCGGTCGGTAGAAGCAGTTCTCGGCACCTTGAGTGTCGGTTCTTCAACAAACGGCCTTTGCCGGATCTGTTTTTGCAAGGAACGGGGAATAACACCCCCATCCTGAAACAAGACCACAAACGGTTAGATGTATAAAACAGCTAAAACAACATCTAAGCCAAACATATAAAGAAGGTCAGGCGGGCTAACCTTTTTAGCCGCCTGAGCGGCAAGTTTCTTCTCCAGATTCTCCTTTCGGATATCTGAAGCCTTTTTTGCGGGTGTCTTGGCGGTGGGCAGCATCTTCTTAGCTTCTTCTGCAAAACAAAAGTACATCCGGTCAGAAATGTGAATTTGATATTGCAATCAAGAGAAAAAGGTCAGCCGACATTAAATTAACCGGCTAAGGTTCGTAACCTTTGGTTTTAAACATTCTGCTAAGTCCATAGGCGGACAAGAAGCACTCGTCTTTGAAAAATTCGTGTTTGGGCACCCAGTTCTTGGGTACCCTTATTATCTCTCCGGTTGAGAGAGAGGTAGAGGTTAACTCTAAAAATCCGGAGTCCAGAATGGCCCTCCTATCATTATCGGGAACTGAGGGCAGCCGGCACTTCTGCCCCATAAGCTCTGGTTTCCGGTTGTAGGTCCGGTACTCCCTGTTTTCCTCCTCAGACGGGGCCTTGACCAGGTAGAACCGGTTCTTCCAGTCCGACCATTTAGACGGCTTGTCCAAAGTCATCATGTATTGGGGGTGAGTGGTCAAGGTGTACCAGGCCCTCCAGCCGCCTAGGCTCCGGCTCAGATAGTGCATATGGGAAAACGCCTCCCAGTCGGGGTTGAGATCCTGCATCTCGCAGGCGGCGATGTACCCTAATATATTCACCCAAGAATTCGGGGTGAGTTGCCAAACGCCTAAGCCATACCCCCTAAGTATGGCCTTGATCGTGTTGTGAAGGGGGAAGTGGACGCCGGCTAGGAAAGCCGCCTCATAGCATCCAAACCAGCCGTTGGCGTTGGGCTGGTCATCTTCCCATACAACCGTCCCGAACTCCCCCGGTACGGTCATCTTGTATCCTTCACCAAGCGGCCGCCTGGTGATAAAGTCTTGTAGAGAAGACCGCATGAGGGCGCGGTCCTTCAAGGAGACGGCGATCATGAGAGGGTCGTTTCTGCTTTGCCACGAAGGCCTCTCCGCCTCCTCGCTATCTTCTGACACGGTTAAATAGCTGGAGCTACTACTTTCAACCCGGCCATCGTCAAAGTCGGATGGGGAGTTGGGAGCATCAATGGCAGCTTCTGGCTGCTCAGCCTCCTCAGCAGAAGAGGTCTCCTCGTTGTAGGAGCCTAGAATGCTATCGCTTGGGGTGGCGGGGGTACCGCCGGATGGTTCTCTAACCTCCCCGTCTGGGCCTTGATTTTCAGGCGATAACTCGTTTGAGTCCCCGCCTCTGTAATTGGGGTCCATAGCTGTTCCCCTAATTCTGGCCATGGTGTCCTGCACAGACACGGAGTCGGTCGATACAGGCATTGTAAAGGGGAAATTCCAAAGATCAGAGGCGGCAGATCTAGTTCTAGACTCAGCCGTATCAATTGACCGGCTGAGTTCACAACTATGGTCCGGGTATGGGTATAAAGGGTCCATCTACCTATGGGACTTATAAACAAAAATGCAAGCAAAAGACACAAACGGAAATGCATGGAAAAGCGAGAAAGAATAGAGACAGTACCTAGAGTAAAGTGTTGAAAACCTCAAGAAATTTCTTGGGGATGCTTGCGAAGACACAGGCGGTTTGAATACCGGCTGGGTTCTCTGAGGTACCCTCTCGAAAATCTTTGGTGTGCTTGCTACTGCACAGGCGGTCTGAAAACCGGCTGCTCTTAAATCTCAAGTCTCCGTGTGCTCTGAATTTCAAGGACCGGATGCTCAGAAATGCCGGATGCTCTCAAAATTCAAGAAATGTCACGAAGTTTGTAGATGAGCTCTCGTGTGCTTCCTCCCCTATTTATAGGGGTTGTCCCGGAAGGTGAAGAGGCGCGACCCTTCCCCTTCTGCTTTTCCCTCTTCCTTCAGTTGGAATTTGAAGGGGTTTCGCAAAAAAAAAAAAAAAAATTAAAATTAAAGTTTACTTTCGTCAGCTCTCTTCTCAGGTGCCACGTGGCACCTTGCCACGTCAGCGCCGCGTCAGCACCTGAGAGGGGCAAATGTTTGGGGGTGAAATTACCCCAGCCACGTGGCCCAATGGCTGAGCAACACGTGGCACCTTGCCATTGGTCAGCAGGGCTCCAATCCCCTGCTGACACGTGTCCTAGGAACCCTAAATGAGGAACCAATGCTCCCCACTATAAATAGTGGGAGTACCCTCATTAATGGGCAGAGGCAATGGGCATTCAATACAATCATAAACACATTTACACCAAACCCGAGCAATCTTAATTGCGGAATTCTCCCATTACGCGAGAAGTAATTACTCTTTTACGCACTTTCTTCCTCCCGTACATCACTGACTTGATCGTTGGAGGCGGAGCTCCACCCAACCGGAGTATTCGTGGTTTTGCAGGTACAGGCGGTCGAAGGGAATTCTTGGAATTGTAACTCTCCCGCAGGACACATCAAAAAACCCCGAAACACCATTCATTTGTCCAATTTCAATCATGTTAGCTTTGTAACATTATGTATCATCAAAGAATATTTAAATTAATATTAATATTATTAATACAAATTGAAAGTGTATTAATGATAAAAAAAACATAAAAAAATGTGTTAAAGAGATTTTAGAAGTCTAAATGTAGCCTTAAATTTGGGACATGATGAGTATTAAAAAATGCAAGGGAAAAAATTTGGAAAAGAGTGAATAGAAACTGTGCTTTGTGCTTGGATTATTAATTTGTTACTACTGGTAAGATCTTAGCCAAGTTAAAGTCTGAAAATTAATGGTTAAAAAAAACACCAAAAAAGTTGAACAGCCGGTGCCGCAGTCTTAGGGTGCTAGAAGCCCAAAGTCCAAGAAATAGGGGGAAATTAGTCAAAAGTTCTATTCCTTTTTTGTTTTTTATTTCATTTACTTTGAAATTTTGCATTACAGAATTTTAGAGTATCTAAAGACATGATGATAAACATATTTTTGGATTATAAAAGGCATTTGATTTGATCAAAAGTATCTATTTTTATTTGTAAAGCAATAAAATTATCTTGATACTTTTTTCATCTTATACCCAACAACTAGGACATAATAACTGAGTAATAGCACCTTCAGAGTTATGAAGTGTTCACCTGTCTTAACAATAACTGATCTAGCTACGGTTAATACCGATACTGAACCTAATGAAATCGAAGCTGAAAAGGAGGTTGCAAAGCAACTCTGCCTCATAAATCTGTTTTTCAACTGAGTAATAGCTACGGTTATATCTCCTTGATGTAACCATGACATAATACAAACTCACATAACCTTACATAATCACTTATTCCGGTCAAATAGCTCTGTATCTTTTTCATATTTGAAGAGCATCAGCAATCGACCCAGCAAGGCTCAGAACTTCGAAAGGAGCTCTATTTGCAATTGCCTTTACAGTACGAGGGCAAGAATCCGTGATCCAAAAGTAACTAAATGCTTTCTCTGAACCTGGGAGAAGGTATAAACAAAGATATTTTGAGTCATCATTAGTTACGGACTTTGCAATCAAGAATCATCAGATATTATGTTGCAATTATGTGATAAATTATTAACGATGGTCAAAGAGTATTTACCATCATTTTTATGCGTGAAACGCTCATATGAAGCCTTTGGAAATACAGCATGGGTCACATAAGCACTAACCTTCACTGCACCATGCGCAGCCAATACTTTCTGCAGTTTCAAGAACCAAGTCATATAGACATATACTTGTACAAGTACCCGTGAAAAACATACAGATTTGATTGGTAAACATGAATAATAATATAAAAGTAAGATTCAACTTAAAAATATGAGTGGAACTTAGAAAACACAAAGACCAAAATTTATGAATTTCTTGAGTTCCTAGCCAAAGTTATTATGTAAGGAAAGCAGCAAGTCTGCTCTTGTTAAAAAAGGAATGAGGTATTGCATATGTACACGACTAAATGAAAGTTTATGTAATACAGACATGATTGCTTTCTCTTAACAAAGAAAAAAAAAATACCTGACATTCAATAAGAGTGCCACCAGATTGTACCAAGTCATCAACAATGACAACGTGACAGCCAGCAGGGTTGCCTTCCTTAAGCCTCACTATCCGTTTATCACCTTCACGAACCTTTGCACAAACCACCTGGTTTTGGATGACATGAAAATTTTAATTGCGATGGAATATGCAGGATTGAATTGGTCAGAACAGTTGTAATAATCACACATGACATAAAAATACAGACCGTAGGAAAATGATCTAGCTGCTTGTGGAATCGCTTCCATGCTCCATCATCTGGAAATGCAACTACTATCTGGAACAATATTGTGGAGTAAGCAATCATTAACATACAGTTGTAAAGACAGTTGAAAAATTCTATGCGGAATTAACATAATGGCCAGTGGAGAAGGGAAAACATATTATAGTAACCTTTTCAGCATCCGGGAGTTGATCAAGGCGCTGCTTCAACAGGGGGATGCCAGTTTCAAACAATGGTAGTACATTGTCACTAAAATAAAACCTTTCCTGCAAAACAGTAAAAATAATGTGTCAAACACGTGAAAAAAACAATGTACTTCCTCCGTTTCTATTTAGTTGACACGTTCAATTTAGACACACATATTAAGGAGAGGAGAGAAAGAGAATGATAAAGCAAGTGGGGTAGCTAGTAAATGCAAAACCGGAGGAATACGCGTCAACTAAAAAAAATGGAGGTAAGTATTACAGAAGATAAACAGTAGTTAGTAGACATAACCGGGAAGAAAGCTTCGCATTTGAATTTCATGTAGTCAACTTTGAAAACCTAGGCGGCCTTTGGTAATTTATATGAAGTATATAAGAAAAAACACTATCATGCAAGATCTTGTTAATTTCTTTTCAATAAGTCATAATATCGACTTTTTAAAAATTTTAAATTTATTAATGGTCAAAGGTGTACATTGGAGACTGTACAAAATGCAAATAAGAATATCTTAAAGTATCAAAAGAAGTATGATAGAAATGATAAATAATCAAGCCGGAGGTTGGGGACCTAATTTCGCTTAAATAATAAAGGGAACAGACAAAGTAATTCACAAATTTGTGATGAATCCAAAATAGGCATACCATGATATCAATTCTTTCACCAAGGTCAGGCATAAGAAAATGCTCCTATCAATACTCTCTACAATACTAAGCTCTGATAACTTTTCATTTTCCAATACCCAAGTTAAAAACATAACAAACGGTTTGAATACCCATGATTAAAAACAGCTGGTTTATAAGATAATAGTCCTTTTACACTACTCTCTTAGCCCTTTTAACGTACACTACAGTATTATTTGTCTCCATAAGAAGAGAGTACAGCTGTACAGGCATATCAAAACGTTACTCCAAATTTTATTTCCTAACACTTACAATGACAATTTTTAAAAGTGAGACAAATTAAAATTGGCATTCAATGACACTGATACATGTATCAAGACTTTGGATTTAAATTTTTTCCTAACTAAAGAAAGAAAATATTGATCAATTCTTCGGATTTACAATGCAACAAAGTATAGTATACACAAGAAAATTCTGTTAACCGTCTTCTTTTCCATAGTTGTCTAATAATGTAATGTAGACCCATGGTATTTTCAACTGAGACAGATACAAACTTTTGGCAATGACTCTAAACCCTCACAAGCTTTTGTCATTGCATTGACATTCTTTTACAACGGTGTTTTAAGCTTTCAGTAATTCAAACAAATCTAGAAAGGATGGTCCCTGAGGCCGGCTCAATTACAGCCTTTCTAACGGGAATTTGAATACTAGCACCTTAACATAATATATGTGATGTATGACCTACATCACCTTTTAAGTTTTTGCTTAGATGGTTGGCTCTAGTAAGTCTTGTCCCAACTTATCCAAAACCCCTCCAAAACCCTTGTCACTCAAACCCAAACCCATATCACAATAGCCAATACCTAACAAAGGCAAACCAAACAGTAAATAGGAACTAAATCCCCACACCCAAAAATAAGGAGCTCAGAGTAGCCTATATATCCCAAAAATTCTTTATCAAAATTATATAGAAAACAAAGGTCATGTCCTAATATTTCCACCAAACACTTCTCAGGCCCTATATGTGTCTAGTTTCTCAATAATATACCTTCTATTGAAGCTGCTTCATATATTTTTATACTACAACATTGGTCCTCAACCATCACACATTATCTAGAAGTTACACGGATAATACTACATCCTTTCCTGCTTCCCCGCTTTTTATTTAGAACAGAATAGAGAAAGAGCAAGCACTTCACCAGCTACTAGGAACTACAACCTCAGAACAGATAATTGTCCAAGAGGACCAAGGCCTGTTCATCCAAGAAATTAGAGTTTGAAGACTCAATTCATTACCACAATTCAGACCATTCACACTTTCACAGGGCAATCAATCCCAAATCAATTGCACGAAGTATGCTGAGTAAAATCATGCAACTCAATCACTTCAATTCAAACTTTCGTGTGTAGTAGAGGAGAGCAGGGAATATAATGAAAAATTTATCAGATTATGAATGTTGTCCTACAACAAAAATTTAGACTCAACAAAAACTAGCACCCACCTCCAACTCATTCTATTAGCAACAGAAATGAACAACATTCAACTCAGATACCCTACCCTTTTCTAGTTTCTACAAAACTTATTAGGCTGACTTTTGACAAGTTGGTCTTAGTTACTTTAATGGTAACATTCTTACTTTCTGTTTGTTCACAACAATAACTCAAAGTGCTACTCTTCCAAACGAATAGTTCTTACAAAAAAAGTTTCTAATGCAATTCACTCCCATCTCCAACATCAACACTTTGACATTTTTAGGTTTACACAATTAACTTGGAATGGTGAGCTCATATTCATACGTAAAATATCTCCTATGACTGGAATCAACGGTCACATTGATCATTTAACTTGAACTTGTAATGTAACCATTACGTTGAAGCGGAGGTTGAACTAAAGTTTGTCACAAATCTAATCATAGTGACCATCAGCCCATTTCAATCTCTTTAGAGTATGTTGATAGCATATTTCTTTTCATACAAAAAATAAATAAATAAAAAATCATTTCAAAGACCTTCATTTTAATATGACTATATGAGTGTCAATCCACATATTTATTGGCAAATTTCTTAATTGACTCACTTTATCCCTTTTAACGATGTTATATATGAAATTTAAAATCTAGAAAGAAAGTACAAATGTAACAAAATTTCAACAAGACCCCCTCATAATACTCGATAAACACAAATATAACCATGAAGCATGTAAAAGAAATTCCAATACTCAAATATTATGACAAATTGACAATAAGGAACCAGAATAGAGAACACATCTATTCCAGCTTATACTAGATTATGAAACTCACCTGCAAAGCATGTATGTCATATATGACCACACTAGTTGGTCCACCCCTGGATATTGGAATGTTGGATAATATCCTTGCCATTGTAAAAGCTGTGGCAACATCTCCTTCCTCTTCCATTCTCTCAAAGGATCCAGTTGGAAAAAATGGTAAGACCAATGTGAAGGAAGCAACAAATAGCCGCGGAAGAGCAAATATAACAGACAGTTGCTCAAATATGACTGCTGGTGAGCTAAAAGCAGCCAAAAAGGCAACATGTTGGCCTCTTATATCTTGTGCATTATTTATGAAAAGATTTGGAAAACCGTCATCAAAGCTCCTGATACATGATATAATAAATCAGACCTCTAATAGAACACTGAATTATAGAGGTAAACATGCTGTATATTACGGAGTGTAACACAGCTTCAATATTTGTCTACAAACAAGATAAACCGGCAAGCCCACTAGGCTACCACAAATGAAGAACTATCTTTTTCCCTTATTATAGAAAATCTAACAAAGTCGTGTCGAGCTCGATAGACAACAACCGAAGGATGAAGGTTGCATTTTCAAATATGCAGCAATGTACCATACATTTCACTTTGTAGATTAATCTATTTTGCAAGATAAAACCTAGCAGGAAATGCCTAGACTTCAAGGCAAACAAATGGAACTTGTAACATGTCCAACAAACAATAATATAATTCGCAGCGAAATTGTGTACAACATGCTACAAAATACTTGTAACATACCGTATATCGAACAAAGAGAGAAAAAAAAAACATACAAATTATTTATGTTTCTTATATACTCCATTTCATTTTGTACCCATGTTGGATCCTTACACTCCAACAAGGGTATAGACTCTTCTTTTGTATCTGCATTTAATTTAAAAAAAATAAAAGGGTATCGTTACACTAATCACAAAAGTAATTTAAAAAAATAAAAGGGTATCGTTACATAAGTACACAAAAATAGTACACAAACATAAAATTCCAAATTAAACTCATGAATCAGAATCATCAATGAAAATTCAAATTAAATAACTTTCGGGTAACGGATACAAGAAGTTTCAGAAAATTTTCACAAAAAAAGAAAAAACACACACACACACACACACAATTGAAGCAGGGTTATGGAAAGAGACCTCCAATTAATGGATTGAAGATTGATAAGATCAGATTGAGCAGCAACTTTACGAGCAAGTTCTTCAGCTTCAACACAATAAAAGAGCAACACTTGCTTCTTGTAAGGTTTCTCCATTGTTTTCTATTGGGCTTGCTTTTTCTATTCTGCTTTAGTTATATGCTTATATTCTCTTCTGTAGTCAAGGAATAGCAAAGAGTGGCGCTGTTGCAAAATGGAGTGGTCAGTGAAGTAGAAAAGAGCACATTTTAATCTATAGTGCTTTAAGGGGAATTTCTTTATTTTACAATCATAGATATTTAAATGATATTTAAACAGGGAAATTTATTTTTTATATTCAAGTATGCATAATATATAGATATAAATATGTTAAGTAAATAGAGGATCGAAGCAAGCTAAAAAATTATTGTGCATACATTGCGTGCGCCTCTAAGCTTGTCAATTTTAAATTGAAGAAGAAAAACAAGGAAGAGAGAGGTTGACAAGTGAAAACGTGAAAAGACCAAGTCGCTGCATGTTGCTGGTAAGCGTTGGTGCGGTCCCTCCACAATATCGAAAAGGCAAGTAAGAGTAAAGAGAGGTTTTTCATTTTTAAGGGCCTCGCTTTATTTGGGTTTGGTACCTTAAAATTATGTTGAAACGTCGTTAATTCTTCGGTGAATCGTACCTAAAAATTGGCGTTGTACCCAAAACCAAGGGGACGTATTTGGGCTATACCCGTCCCCCGCGTACCCATGCATCACAGTGCGGAAGCCTAAAAAATAACGAAAATGCCACTATATTCACGTAAACTCCGTAGTATTTGTAATTGGGTCGGGCTCCTTGATAATTGAATAGTACTTCGTATTGATTATTCCTCGAGTCCTCAAGCCATTGTTAGGAAAAATGAAGACGTAATGAAGGTATAAGAAGTTGAAACAATGTGACAATTTAGAATAATAACGATTCATTAGGTGACTTAGGAAATTTTGTTAATTACTACCTAATAAACAGAGGCTTTGTGAATTACTACCCCTAAAAAAAGTTTTAATTACTACCCCTAAACCGATTAATTTAAGTGGTTGCTACCCTTTTCCTACTCAGTCCCTAATCAGGTGATTTAAGCTCTTAATGAGCTCATTGTCTAGCAAGATTATAATTAGTTGTTTTAAAGCCATGATTAATTAAATAAACCCTAACACCACCTCTAAACCACCACTGCACCACCTCCTACAACCCCCTTACCCCATCCCCACCATCTTTGGTAGCCCCTTACCACATCATCCCTTTGCCACCAGCTAGGAAGCCACGCGCTGGGAAGGGGAAGGGGAGGGAGAAGCACAAGAGAAGAGGAGAACGAAAGTCCGGCAGCCTCCCAGCCATTACCATCCCCTTCTCGACATTGACAACCCCACCCTATACCCCATTCCCCTCCCCTTTTCGATTTTATGGCCACCCTACCCAAAACACTCTTTCCCTCCCCTTTTCGTTTTCGGCCACCCACCCACACAACCCAAAACCCCTTTTCGATTCGTGGGTGCTTGCTTTTTTGGCTTGAATTCCACCAGTTTTCTTTGCAAATTGTGTGTAATATCTTCTTCTCATTGCAATGTAAGTATTTCCATGTACAATCCTTGCTACATTGTCGAATTTCATGTAAATTTGTAAAAAAATCGAAAACCCCCTTTGAAAGTCGATTTGGGGCTTTCTCGTGTGATGCTTGTTGGATGAAATTGTTTGTCCCATGTTGTTGGATTCTTAATTGTGAGCATTTTGATAGTAATTTTGTAGAAAATGGTGAAGAAATGAGCATGTTGTGTTCTTGCCTTCGAGCTTGAACGTGGGTTTTAATGGTGGTGGAAAGCTGACGGAGAGGGAATGAGGAAGGGGTGGGGTCGCCGACACGCCCGCCGGTGAGGGTTGCCGACGACAAGGGCTTCGGTCTTCGGCGACTGGGAGGGATTTAGGGTGGGGTGGGCGGCCTGCGATGAGGGTGGTAGAAGGGGGGTGGTGGGTGGGGATTAAGGTTTAAAAATAACTAATTATAAATTAGCTGAATAATAATATTTTTAAGAGCTTAAATCGCCTGATTAGAGAAAAGGGTAGCAATCACTTGAATTAATCGGATTTAGTGGTAGTAATTAAAATTTTTTTTTTAGGGGTAGTTATTCACAAAACCTCTATTTTTGAGGTAGTAATTAACAAAATTGCCAGTAACTTGCTTTACAAATTGCATAAATTCCAAATTCCCCTAAAAGCACTATAGATTAAAATGTGCTCTTTTCTACTTCATCCACTCCATTTTGCAACAGCTCCACTCTTTTCTATTTCTTGACTACAGAAGAGAATATAAGCATATAACTAAAGCAGAAGACTAAAAACCCCAGCAAGCCCAAGAGAAAACAATGGAGAAACCCAACAAGAAGCAAGTGTCCTTGCTCTTTTACTATGTCGAAGCGGAAGAACTTGCTCGTAAAGTTGCTGCTCAATCTGATTTTATCAATTTTCAATCCATCAATTGGAGATCTCATTCTATTACTCTGCTTCAATTGTGTGTGTGTGTGTGTGTGTTTTTTTGTTGTGAAATTCTTCTAAAATTTCTTGTACCCATTACTAGGAATTTGTTTAATTTGAATTTTCATTGATGATTCTGATTCATGAGTTTAATTTGGAATTTATGTTTGTGTACTTTTGTGGTTAGTGTAACGATACCCTTTTACTTTTTTTAAACTACTTGGATTTGGATACATGTTTAACTGTCCAATTTGGCTTTTTTATGAACAATGTTCATAATTTTAGCCCAGGATACAAAAGAAGATTCTATAACCTTGTTGGAGTGTAAGGATCCAATATGGGTACAAAATGAAATAGAGTATATAAGAAACATAAATAATTTGTATGTTTTTTTTTTCTTTGTTTGATATACTGTATGTTACAAGTATTTTGTAGCATGTTGTACATAATTTGGCTGCGAATTATATTATTGTTTGTTGGACATGTTACAAGTTCCATTTGTCTGCCTTGAAGTCTAGGCATTTCCTGCTAGGTTTTATCTTGCAAAATAGATTAATCTACAAAGTGAAATGTATGGTACATTGCTGCATATTTGAAAATACAACCTTCATCCTTCGGTTGTTGTCTATCGACACGACTTTGTTAGATTTTCTATAATAAGGGAAAAAGATAGTTCTTCATTTGTGGTAGCCTAGTGGGCTTGCAGGTTTATCTTGTTTGTAGACAAATATTGAAGCTGTGTTACACTCCGTAATATATAACATGTTTACCTCTATAAATAAGTGTTCTATTAGAGGCCTGATTTATTATATCATGTATCAGGAGCTTTGACGACGGTTATTCAAATCTTTTCATAAATAATGCATAAGATATAAGAGGCCAACATGTTGCCTTTTTGGCTGCTTTTAGCTCACATGCAGTCATATTTGAGCAACTGTGTGTTATATTTGCTCTTCCGCGGCTATTTGTTGCTTCCTTCACATTGGCCTTACCATTTTTTCCAACTAGATCCTTTGAGAGAATGGAAGAGGAAGGAGATGTTGCCACAGCTTTTACAATGGCAAGGATATTATCCAACATTCCAATATCAGGGGTGGACCAACTAGTGTGGTCATATATGACATAATCAAGTATAAGCTGGAATAGATGTGTTATCTATTCCGGTTCCTTATTGTCAATTTGTTATAGTATTGGAATTTCTTTTACATGCTTCGTGGTTATATTTGTGTTTATCGAGTATTATGAGGGGGTCTTGTTGAAATTCTGATACATTTGTGCTTTCTTTCTAGATTTTAAATTTCATATATAACATCGTTAAAAGGGATAAAGTGAGTCAATTAAGAAATTTGCCAATAAATATGTGGATTGACACTCATATAGTCATATTAAAATGAAGGTCTTTGAAATGATTTTTTATTTATTTATTTATTTTTTGTATGAAAAGAAATATGCTATCAACATACTCTAAAGAGATTGAAATGGGCTGATGGTCACTATGATTAGATTTGTGACAAACTTTAGTTCAACCTCCGCTTCAACGTAATGGTTACATTACAAGTTCAAGTTAAATGATCAATGTGACCGTTGATTCCAGTCATAGGAGATATTTTACGTATGAATATGAGCTCACCATTCTAAGTTAATTGTGTAAACCTAAAAATGTCAAAGTGTTGATGTTGGAGATGGGAGTGAATTGCATTAGAAACTTTTTTTGTAAGAACTATTCGTTTGGAAGAGTAGCACTTTGAGTTATTGTTGTGAACAAACAGAAAGTAAGAATGTTACCATTAAAGTAACTAAGACCAACTTGTCAAAAGTCAGCCTAATAAGTTTTGTAGAAACTAGAAAAGGGTAGGGTATCTGAGTTGAATGTTGTTCATTTCTGTTGCTAATAGAATGAGTTGGAGGTGGGTGCTAGTTTTTGTTGAGTCTAAATTTTTGTTGTAGGACAACATTCATAATCTGATAAATTTTTCATTATATTCCCTGCTCTCCTCTACTACACACGAAAGTTTGAATTGAAGTGATTGAGTTGCATGATTTTACTCAGCATACTTCGTGCAATTGATTTGGGATTGATTGCCCTGTGAAAGTGTGAATGGTCTGAATTGTGGTAATGAATTGAGTCTTCAAACTCTAATTTCTTGGATGAACAGGCCTTGGTCCTCTTGGACAATTATCTGTTCTGAGGTTGTAGTTCCTAGTAGCTGGTGAAGTGCTTGCTCTTTCTCTATTCTGTTCTAAATAAAAAGCGGGGAAGCAGGAAAGGATGTAGTATTATCCGTGTAACTTCTAGATAATGTGTGATGGTTGAGGACCAATGTTGTAGTATAAAAATATATGAAGCAGCTTCAATAGAAGGTATATTATTGAGAAACTAGACACATATAGGGCCTGAGAAGTGTTTGGTGGAAATATTAGGACATGACCTTTGTTTTCTATATAATTTTGATAAAGAATTTTTGGGATATATAGGCTACTCTGAGCTCCTTATTTTTGGGTGTGGGGATTTAGTTCCTATTTACTGTTTGGTTTGCCTTTGTTAGGTATTGGCTATTGCGATATGGGTTTGGGTTTGAGTGACAAGGGTTTTGGAGGGGTTTTGGATAAGTTGGGACAAGACTTACTAGAGCCAACCATCTAAGCAAAAACTTAAAAGGTGATGTAGGTCATACATCACATATATTATGTTGTTAAGGTGCTAGTATTCAAATTCCCGTTAGAAAAGCTGTAATTGAGCCGGCCTCAGGGACTATCCTTTCTAGATTTGTTTGAATTACTGAAAGCTTAAAGCACCGTTGTAAAAGAATGTCAATGCAATGACAAAAGCTTGTGAGGGTTTAGAGTCATTGCCAAAAGTTTGTATCTGTCTCACTTGAAAATACCATGGGTCTACATTACATTATTAGACAACTATGGAAAAGAAGACGGTTAACAGAATTTTCTTGTGTATACTATACTTTGTTGCATTGTAAATCCGAAGAATTGATCAATATTTTCTTTCTTTAGTAAGGAAAAAATTTAAATCCAAAGTCTTGATACATGTATCAGTGTCATTGAATGCCAATTTTAAATTGTCTCACTTTTAAAAATTGTCATTGTAAGTGTTAGGAAATAAATTTGGAGTAACGTTTTGATATGCCTATACTCTCTTCTCATGGAGACAATAATACTGTAGTGTACATTAAAAGGGCTAAGAGAGTAGTGTAAAAAATCACTGATTATATATCTGATTTGTGTATTTAAATTTTTCAGATCTTTACCATATACGTAGTATTAGGGGACCATAAAATATGGGTATTTTGTGATAGTGTCGTGTTCAGAGAGTTTGAAATATTTTGATATCAGAGGTATTAATATCGTGTAATGAATCCTGGAGAGGTGGCTATTACTTAGATAATTACATTATTGGTTGTTATGGAGCCTGATGTAAGTCATGTAACTACTATAAGTAGAATTAGGATGTGATTATAAACTTAATAAAGAGAAGTTTAAAAAATAAAAAATCATAGAAAATTTAATGCTAGATATATTTACTAATTGCTTCGAGAACCACTATACTAACTCCTTGGTTACTATGACTATTATCTTATAAACCAGCTGTTTTCAATCATGGGTATTCAAACCGCTTGTTATGTTTTTAACTTGGGTATTGGAAAATGAAAAGTTATCAGAGCTTACTATTTTAGAGAGTATTGATAGGAGCATTTTCTTATGCCTGACCTTGGTGAAAGAATTGATATCATGATATGCCTATTTTGGATTCATCACAAATTTGTGAATTACTTTGTCTGTTCCCTTTATTATTTAAGCGAAATTAGGTCCCCAACCTCCGGCTTGATTATTTATAATTTCTATCATACTTCTTTTGATACTTTAAGATATTCTTATTTGCATTTTGTACAATCTCCAATGTACACCTTTGACCATTTATAAATTTAAAATTGTTAAAAAGTCGATATTATGACACATTGAAAAGAGATTAAAAAGATCTTGCATGATAGTGTTTTTTCTTATATACTTCATATAAATTACCAAAGGTCGCCTAGGTTTTCGAAGTTCGACTACATAAAATTCAAATGCGAAGCTTTCTTCCCGGTTATGTCTACTAACTACTGTTTATCTTCTGTAATACTTACCTCCATTTTTTTTAGTAATACTTAATAATAACTCATGTAACACTAACAGAAGAACCATTTGTAAACTATTGATGATTTCATCATGTATTAAAAATTAAGAATTTATCTACAAAACGAAGACTGGCAATAGTTTAACTCTTCTAGGCATTTTTGCGTTAATCAAGGACAGCTCCCTCGTTAATTAGGCATTAAACTTGTATGTATTCTACCTTGCTCTACAATAACAAAATGCTGCAAGCAAAACATATGAAACAGTAGCATCATCATGGTAGACAAAACATATGAAAGGACAAAATAAATGTGCACTATCATGGTAGACAAAATAAATTAGAAAGGTATTGGGTTAGATACAATACGCTTAGGAGTTTCCAAAGCATATTTTATTAATATGGCTTAAGCAGGAGCTTGATCGAACTTTACAGTAACAAGATATGATTGGGCTTGGATTAATTTGAAACTTAGGTGCGCTCTTTAACTCATTAAAGGGGGATTTCAGACTTATTACCGCGGTGAGCACGATGTATGAGCAACCCATTCAAATCAAGAACAAGCAACTACTTAACCAAAACAGAAACTATAAATCAGACCATAAAATCAAAAAATTAACAGAAATTATATGAACAATACAAATCAGAACATAAAATCAAAAAATTAACACAATTATATGAACAGCAATACGAATCAGAACTAAAAATCAAAAAATTAAGACATGCAAATCCCGTCAAAAAACAAATCAACAACAAAAAACCGAAATGAAAACAAAAAAAATAACAGAAAATTACCTTTGAGTTGTGACGACTTGAAGGAGAGGAAGATTTGAAGATGGAGAACTAGAGATCGAAAAAAAAACGAGAATGGAGAACTTTAGATCGAAAAAAAAAACGAAACGAAAACAAAAACAATTAACTAAAATTTACCTCAAATTGAGCTTGAAGAGTTGAGAACTTGAGAGTGAGTGAGGATTCAACGCTTTGATTTGTGATTGAAGAAAAAGAGCAGAAGAATGAAGAAGAAGAAGGAACCAAAAATGAAGAACAAGAAGAACCAAACAAAACGGCTGAATGATTTACCCAAAAAATTAAAAAAGAGAGAGTGAATGAAAAGGAGATGACCTAACCTAATTGGCATTATTGGGGCTATTGGGCTAAAATTCACATTTCACCTTTTTTTTTCTTTTTTTGCATAATATATGAATCACGTTATTCTTTTAGAGAGAATTCAGGTTAATCTCTGAAATTGACATGAAAAGTTAATCTCCTCTCACAATATATTGTTTTACTTTTATTTTTAAAATAATAAAAGTGAAATAGTAAAGTGGCACGAAAACAAATGCATAAAATTGTGAGAGGAGATTAACTTGGAGTGTTAATCTCGGAGATTAACTTGGAGTGTTAATCTCGGAGATTAACTGGGGCTCCCTCATTTTTTTAATTATTTAACATCAAAATATCTAAATTTTAAAACTAAAAATTGTTTTTCCTTTTGGTTTTTGGAGGGGAATTTCCCACCATTTATATTTTGAAGAAATTTTCAACCAAAAAAAATGAAATCAATTTTCCACTTTGTAAAAATCAAAAATTTTAATTTTATTTTAATAACATTAAACAAATTTTTATACAATTAATTAATTACATGGCATCAAAAAAACTAATTACATTTCTCGAATCCCGATAAAACGATATTACCTTCATAATATCAGCTTTTATATTTTCTTAACACACATATTAAAATATTAAGTTCTTTAAATAATAAAATGTGAATCGTTAGCGTATAAATGTCTAGCGTTGCAATTAATAAAAAATCAAAGACCGTTTAATAATATAATGACGTCATATCTTAGATAGTTAGAAGTACTACGGATTTGTTATATGGTTATAATTATATCAGTTTAGCGGTACCTATAAGCAATACACTTGTAATCGTGTAAACTTATAAGTGATGTAATTGACTATTAGATTAGTACATAAAAACAAATTACTTAATTAGATATGAGTTATGACTACATGAGTGATTGACTAATATGACTATATGAGCAATTGTCAATTTAGCATAGCTGCATAACAGATTAGCAGTGTACTAGACTATCATACTCGGTAATATACTAATGGCATTTCAGTATTTGATCTATTACACTTAAGTTAAAAGTTACTCTTTCTTAGTAACTTGTTAGTCTAATTAGCTAATTAGTAATTACTAATAAGTGACTTAAGCCTTAGGGGTAAACCAGTAAAGGATATACAAATCTAATAATCTTATGATTCTCATCCCTTTATACTAATAATATTTAACTATGAGAATATGAGAGGTTAGATGTTATGTATATGTATAATCGATTGAAAGAATCAATATTACCTTCTTCTTCATTAATGTTTTATTTCATTATACAAATCAAAATACTTTGTAATATCTTCATATATAACTTTATGCAAATATATGATGATAAACGAGTCTTAATTATCAGTCTTGTTGACTAATTAAGTATCGAATACCAAATTGCAAATTTCGATGTCACAACAACTCATCAAATCATGATTATGACACTATTAACTAAATGATCAAATAAGAAGCATATAATAATCTGATAGTAAAATAATATTAAATTAATGCAATAAACTTTTATAATCTAATTCATAATAAACTAGTAAGATCGGTATGACTAATTGGAAACATAACATGATATGTATTTATAAAATTAATGAGAATTTGCATATAATAAGATGCCTCAATATGAAGTGATGAAGTATCGGCTTGATATAAAATTTGTTAACCAGCAAAAAGTTAGAAAGTAGTATAAAATTTCAAACCAAAATTCTTTAATTACCCGAATCCAAACGATTATATAAAAAACTGATTTTTTTGAAATTAAAAACAGACCCGAACCATAATTTAGTAAACCTGAAATAAAACCGATCCAAATAATGTTAAATCGTGAAGAACCGAACCCGTTAACGAACCGAACCAGTTATAAGCCGAACTAAAATAAAACTGAACAAAAAAAGAACCGAACCGTTTCTAACCCGAAACTGTTTGAACCGGGATAAAAACCGTTTATACCAAACCGTTAACAAACCGCAACCCGTTTGCACCGAATCGTTTACTACTCGGACCATTTACAACCCGAACCGTTAACAAACCGCAACCTGTCTGCACTGAACTGTTTACAACCCGAACTGTTTATAACCTGAATCGAATTTAAACCGTTTAAGAAAAAACCAAAATCGAATCGAACCGATAATTATTTAAACCGAACTGAAACCGACCTGTAAGACATTTGAACCGATTTCAAACCGAACCGAAACCGAATTGTCAAACCATTTTGACATTACTACTTATCCTCAACAAATACCATTTTCATGGTTAAACCAAACAAATAATTTCTTTCCCCTTTTTATTTATTTCCTTTCTACATTGTTTTCATTATACGAACCAAACATTCTCTAAGGCTCCATTTGGTAGGGCGTAAAACATTTTCATTGAAAAGTGTTTTCCCAATTCACATTTTTTGGTTTGGTGTAAAACATTAAAATGTAAAACTTGGGGTGAAAAATCATTTTCAACCTTTTTGAAAACATTTTTCCCCTAATTTAGAAGGAAGACATTTTCCATTACAAGTGGAGGGAAAACATTTTCTCTCACAATTGAATTTTCAGTTCAACCAAACAATAGAAAATGTTTAAAATGGGAAATCATTTTCCATTCAACCAAACAACGAAAAACTTTTTGAAAATGAGTTTTCCATTGTAAAATGATTTTCATGGAAAACCATTTTACATTGAAAATGTTTTATATCCTACCAAACGGACCATAAATACACAATCCGTCTAATAATTGGAGAAAATCTTGTTCCGCCTAATAGATCAGCAATCACCTCGTCAACCTGACCTCACCGGAGCGCTGTGTGTGATGGTTCATTATTTCAAGTCGCTCCACGACCTGAGGCCATTACACGAAAAAAAAATGAAAAAAAGAAAGAGCTCTTTCCCTAAATAATGCTACCAAAAGATTTAATTCCATAAATGCTTTCACTTTTTTTTTTTATAAATTTCTGCTTTACCGTCCATGTCACCGGTTTAATTTTTTTTTAATTTTTTTCGGTTTTTATGAAAACCGCTATTTGAAGTTGCGGTTTCAAGTATTTACATAAAAAAAAAAAACTTCTGAACGACCATTGAAGCACCTTTTGACTGTTAATCTAACCATTGAAGCACCTTTCTCTCCTCCATTAAAGCAGCTTCTGTGGAAAGTTTCTGATTTCGCTGCAGGTGGCTGGGTGAGGGTCGTGGCTGGGGCTGCTATGGTGGGTTCGATGGTTCGACGTGGTGGAGGAGAGGGAAGATGAGAAGGAGATGGCAAGTGAAGACGGCACATTGCCCGCAATCCCAGTTGTGTGTCTCCCATGAGCATCTGCACCACTCCTAGCGCTCCTCAAGCTGCACTCTTTGGCTCTAGATATCTCCTGCTCCCCAAAATTCAATTCGACAAACAATAAATCATGTAATTGCATACTGGAACCATCATCAACAACACTAATTTACCTCATTTTCACAATATAAATCAAACACCAAATTAAACATATAAGTTGACAAATTTTGATGCAATTAAAGGGTTTTTTAAATTAAGATTAGACAAATAAAATTAACAATCTATCAAATTAATTTTCAAGATAAACGAAAACAAAGAGGGCAACAAAAATTTCTGCCAATTAAAAATAAAAATCAACAATAGAAATTCATACCTCTGAAACTAAGTATGTCGAAAATTAGGGTAATAGTAGCTTCAAATTTGGTTGAAATTCATGATTTTGATATACTTAAGGAGGAGAAGAGTGTGAAAGTGAAGCTTAAACCCTAAAATCAGAAAATGGATATACATGTGTCGGAACGGAATATATATTTGAAAAAACCACAATTATGTGCAAAAGCAAAATGAAGTGGCAGTTTTTGTTTGGTTGGTGGTGCGGTGGGTGTGGTGGAGGAGAGGGAAGATGAGAAGGAGATGGCAAGAGAAGCCATTAAAGGAAGCAGGAAGGTTTGGAGTTGAGGGGAAAAGAGGAAAATAAGGAGAACGATGAATAGGAATCTTTAAGGCAAACCGCTACTTGAAGTAGCGGTTTATTGCTAGACCAATAAAATTAAAATCGTTTTTTTTCAAAACTGATGTAGACGATATGATGAGAATTAAAAAAAGAGTGGATGTAATTTGAAAATTTGACAATTTTCCAACATTATTTAAGGAAAGAGCTCAACAAGAAAAGTTGCTTCAACCAAGACGGAAATTAAATCTTCATAAAACTTGACTCTCATTTTTTTGATTTTCCACTCCAGATCTCATCTGAGAGAAACACGCCAAAATCATACTCGTATTGTTTTCTCTTTTTCTTCTCCATTTCTCCTCTTCTATGGCGGACGATTAAGCTAAATCTAAACTAATTCTCTTTCTCTCTCCTACTTTCTCAGAAACCGTCGAAAATGGGAGTAGAAATCGCAAGCGAAGTATGGCAGCTTAATCCGTCACTTTACTTATTCATTATCGTCGCTTCTTTCCTATCAATTTTCATCCTACCTCACTTCTCCAATCGAACGACGTCGTCTTCTTCCGACATTAATGTCATTTCATCCTCTCTCTCCTTCAAATTCCAGCGGAAATTCCTCGTTCTCTACTCTCTCTCCTCAGGTATATTCATTTTAATGTTTGATTTCATCAATTAATTAGTCTCTAATCATAAATTTGATTGCTGAATTGTTGATAATTTGTATGATCAGTGTTGGAAGGTTTATGGTTGGTGTACGGAGAGTATGAAATTGTAAATTATGGACTGAATAAACAGCAGATGATAGTGTTGCTATCTTCTGGATGTTTAGCTTCGCTTGTTCTCGGCACTTTATTAGGCATATTTTCTGATGCATTGTAAGTTTCTCAAACTCTTTTGTTTGTTTGTTTGTTTTGACGTTATTTGTATTATTTGCGGTTTGATTTTGTTTTGTTGTCGAAAATTGTTTGTGTGATTGAGCTGGATTTTGTGTTTGTTTTTAGTGATGTGAGGTTGAGTGTTTGGTGATCATGTATTAGGATTTGAAGCCATTTTTTCAAAGCTTTAATCATTAATAGGAGCACTTATGCTATAAATTGCTTAGTTTGAAATTAGGTTATGAAAAGAGTGTTGAGATAACGAGAAACATGATCATCAAATTCTTAAAGTGGAAGGTTAAGAAAAAATATATAACAAAAAAAAACAAAAAAAAAAAAAAAACAGAAGAGAAGTGAGCTATTAGGCTCATTTGGAAGGTGTGTGAAGCTATAACTATAACTATTGTTTCCTAGCTGCCTTGTGAGTGCAGCGTGAATGTTAGTCTTTGTAGCCAAATGCACTATTAAAAATTGCTATGCTATAAGAAAAATCTTAAAGATGGAGTTCTTGCTCTTCAATATCGATTTTGAGTGCATTTTTTTTGTAATGCTTGTATGAGTTGCAGAGGCCACAAGAAATTTTGTCTTCTATTTTCCATCCTACATTTGATCATGGCTGTGTGGAAAACACTTGCAGCTCATCCTGCTATTTGGGTAGCCAGCATCTGCTTGTCTCTCGCCAGTTCCATATTTTCGTTCAGTTTCGAAAGTTGGATGGTGGTTGAACATGATAAGGTGTGTGTTAGTTGCAATTCTTTAGTTTAATCATGGTTAAAAGCTTGAATGTTCTTGTTTTTTCGTGTTCATCATCAATTCATTTTCATATATTTCCAGTTTTAGAAAATTTAATAATCCTATACTTCCCTGGATTCTTTATTAATTAATGGATTTCTTTGTTGTGAAGTAAAAATATGCACTTCATGTATGACTCATTTACTCTGTCTTTCTCTGCAATCTTTTCGATTTGGTTTATATTGTTACATTTCTCTTACATATTTGATGCAGCAAGGGTACAGGCAAGATGCATTGAATGATACTTTTTGGTTGATGAGTTTTTTTGAGTCAACATCTTTGATATTAAGCCAAGTTCTTGCAAACTGGGCTCTAGGCCATGGTTCTATGAAGGGTCTCATTTCTTCTTCAGTCATAACTATGCTCTTGGCATCTGTCAATCTTGCTTTCACCATCAGAGGATGGCCAGAATCATCAGCTCAGGGAAAGGTTAAGGAACATAGAGCAGCGTTTACTGTGTTTATTTTTGGAGGTAAGATTGATGTGATGTATTCTTATTGATTGTGCAGCCAAAACTGGCTACATTAAACTTCACTTAGCTTGCAAATTACTCTTTATCCAATGTAGAGATCTTAAACAATGTTGCATGCTTCCAATGTTATGATTAAAAAGAAAGTAATTGAGGAACTACTTATTGAATGATTCGATGTATGTTTTGCTTTGTATGGAACAGTTGGTAGAAGCCAAGATTGGCTAAAGCATTTGTTAATTTTGATGTTTTGGTGAAAAATGAGGAAATAAATTTCGATTGATTTTAGAGGCATCATGAGGAGGATAAATGAAAACAAGAACACCATAAGGAAAATTAATTCGATATCCCTATGGCATGTGTCGGTGACTAGGTGTGTAGCATTTAACCTATATAGAACAGCAGAAGTTCCAACTGATGACAATTACTTAGTTGAGAATGGAATATCAGAACGAGACAAGGTTGCAGGTAGTTCTCAACTTAATAGATAAAATTACAATGAAATTTGAAGTCAGACAGCTCATTGAACTTTAAATCAGGAACGTTAGGTAATGGTTCCCTGTGTAGCAGTTCTTACTATTGGATTAGGATACTATGGCATCATAACTGTAGTTCAGCCATTCCCATGTCACTTTGTCTGGATATGAGCAAGTCTAGCAATTGTTGCCCGTGCTTTTGGGCCACAAAATGGTCCATTATTTATTTTAATTGGCACTGAGTCTTGTTTTAAATGTTATATTTTTAACAATCATCAATTAGGTGAACAAATTGACCATGGTTTTGTATAGTGTATATCACCATTTTTTGTCATACTGTCAACTATTGCACTGTAAGAGTGAATTGCATGTAATTATCTTTTGGCATTTTGAATAGACTTGGGAGTGATGTTCATCAGCTTTAAAGTAAAGTAAATTTGGCATGTGAAACTTAATGAATTATTATTCTTTTCATTTTGGTTGGGACAATAGTGGTCAATAAAAAGTCATAATTATATTCATTTTCTAGTGGATGTCTTTTCAGCTGTGGTTATTCTTCAAATTCATTTGTCGACATTTACCTTTGAGGAAATCCTCATTATTGATGGGCTATTATGATCCACAGACAAACGGGTATGGCTATTGGGATGTGCCCAAGCTTGCCTTCACTTCTCTGCTGCTGTATTCTGGATTGTATGGGCACCAACTATAGTGGTATGGATTTAATGACTCCTGTTTTTCTATATATTATTAAAAAGAGATAAATGAAGTATGATACTCCTCTGCTGTTCTCTAAAGTTATACTCCGGATTCACTTCCTCTTCTTCCCACCTCATTTTTCAGGTAGTTGACATTTGTTAAATAATATTTATGTGGTGTATTAAGTCATAACCCCTTTTTTGATTTAGGCTGATGGGCGTGAAGTGCAATTAGGGTTTATTTATCCATGTTTTTTGGGTGCAAGGATGCTCGGAAGCACAACTTTTCCATGGACCCTGAGTGGATTGCTATCACTTCGTATTGAAGATTGCTTATTGTATGAATTCATCGCTGCTGGGGTTATCCTGTCGATTGTAGCATATGATTACCAGGTATAGGTTTATTTCTACTACATGAGGAATTACTATAAATCTAACCCGTGTTTTGTAATTCTAAGGATTCTACGATAACTAGCAACTCATTGGTTTCTTTTAACAGGAAATAGGTGTATTTGTTGCACTTTTCTGCTTATTCCAGGCTGTTGCTGGCCTTATATTGCCAACTCTTGCCAGGCTGAGGACCATGTACTCCCTCTTTCCCTCTATCTCAAAACACTGTCATTCATTAGGCCAGTGTTTCAAATGACTTCTGTTTTTGAATTTCTCAAGGGAACACCTTTAGGTTTGGGAGAATTTGAAATTGATTTTTCTTGATTTTTTGGTTATGCATGTACCCTTTGATTTATAGCAACGTAATGTACTATTCCTTTACTTTGAATCAAGTTTGAAGACAATTTTAGCATCATCTGTAATATGTTGTTTAATTCATTAAAAGCATCAGATGAATAGAAAGGAGAATTTATGCTTCTTAGTAAACACACAGCAAAAGCGCAACACCCACTCGACACTGTTCATTTACCAGTTTTTGCAGATTTATTATCATTGTATTGTTGCAAACAACTTCTTTGGAAAGTCACGACAGTCGGTACTGCTAGCTTAGTTTTATTTACTGTACAACAATTTAGGGTAGCAGTCTGAAATGTCCTTTGAAATAGTTGGTATTGTTTTTTTTTTTTTTTGTACGTTTCCTCATTTTCCTCCCAGTAAATTATGTTGTTTGTCTATCCAAGATGAATTGATTTACTATTATTGTTTGTTATTGCCATAGGTATGTGCCAAATGAGTTCCGTGCAGGGATGATAAGTTTGTCTCTGGCTCCAGCAAATGCTGCTATCTTGTGTGTTCTAATCCAGGTAAGTGCCACATTCCAGTCACACTCTTAGGCCAAATTAAATTTCTGTGGTGCTAATTGTGGTTTTTTGGTCTTTGAGGTAGTAAGTTGTGTAACTACCACAGTTAACAAATAAACACTCATTAGTTAGATGTTTACTCGATTTCTTTAAATCTGTTGATATCCCCCCCCTCCCCACACACCCACCCACACACACGACACTTGTGGTTGGATGTGCTTAGCATGGCTATTACTGCATAATTTGTTCTTCTTTTATGTTGAACTTTTTTTCTGATTGGAACCCATTTATATGGAACAATCTTGAATCATCTTATCGTTCCAAGAGTCGTATGAACATTAAGTCCTTTTGTGGCAACCTTGTTTATCTCAAAGTATTCAAGGTTTAGGGTCATTAAGTCCCTCATGCCTTGAAGCCCTAGGGTTTGGGTTTTATGTAGCTTAATCACCTTGATAATAACAGAGGAAAAATTCCTACCTTTATTTTTATACCTTTTCATTTCTTCTTTGTTGACACACTTATTTAGGAAGTAAGAGTATAATTGAAAATGTAAATGGTAAAAATAAAATTCTCAACTAAAAAAACCTTCCCAAAAAGGAATACATTTCAGTATAATGAAACAGAGGACTGATGAAGTGATGTATAATAATGAGCTAGAAATTTGACATGGAGTCGCATTCCCTTCAAGAATTTGATAATGCTCAATATGAACATTAGAAACCAACAATCCACGCAGAAAAGTAAACGAGGCAAACAGAAGGGAACAAAAATTGTGAAAAATATGCGTACATTTCTTATGATATGTGAGGCCATAGCCCAAGAGTTAGGCTTGTATAAGCAAACCTGTGTCATTTTCCTTTACAGTCTGTTTGGAAAAGAAGGCCCTAACTTCTAATCATTGAATTAGTAACTACTGATAGAAAAGGAGATTCTGTGATTTTCTTTGGGTAGCTAGTGGTTTCAAATCATGCATAGCTGATTAAACTAATCCATTTTGACACAGTGTGCATGTCATGGTATATTGATTTAGGCTATGTTGATATTGCAGGGTGGCTATTACAGGAACGTCAACAATTCCACTATAACTGCCTTTGCTGCCCTGGGATTATTTTTGGCCGCAGGTTGCATGTACATGTTGAAGCATCTGGGCAAACAGCCTCACCAGAGCTGGCACAAACAATGATCCTAGCATCGCCATTTTTTTGAGGTTAATGCTGATGGAGACGAATTTGAAAGGGGTAGAGATGATTTGGTTTGTTGATACTTTGATGCTGATTTTAAGTGAAAATCCGTGAAGTTATACTACTAATACTAGGTACAGAGTATTACTTTATGAAGTTCAGAAATCGAAATCTCATGGAATGTGGAGACACTGGTTCAATATTGCATCCTAGAACAGGCATTCTTCTTCTTCAGCCAAATAATGTACATCGAATGGGAAATATCAGCCAGTCAACTAGTCAAGGCTCCAAACAGAGGGGGTGCTTGGGATAGACTAAAGACCTAAGAGCGAACTTCTCTCCCTCTCTCTGTTTTTTTGTTTCTTTTTCTTTTTTTCATTTTTTTTGGCCGCAACTTCCAGCTTGTATTTTGGATCACAATCTTTTGAACTTTTGAGAATTTGTCAACCAGCTGCAGCTTTGACATTTTTTCGGATGGGTTATTATCAGAAAGATTGCAGATTACAGAAATTGATTTCATTCTTGTATAACTTTATTCAAGCATACACTTGAGAGTTTATAAATACACTTTGTCAAAATTGAGTATTGAATGATACAGGTATGGTAAAAAAATTTATCTCCCTCCTAACTACTAATCTACAAATGTACTTCGTTTTATTCTTCTTGTTCTTGATCCCTGATCCACTTTGTCGCAACCCATTTTTCCCCTCTGACAACCGGGCAACTTCCATGTAATGAAGTCTGTAAACCAACAAAGATCATGTTAATGGCTGAAGCTACAAGTTGCAACTCATGAACATAGAGAAGCACATATAAACCAATATGCAGCAAGCGAGGTTAAGGTAGCAATACAAGTACGTGAGTAACGTGACACAAACTGGATTAAATCCCCTAATATATTCCAAAAATGACTATCTTGAGTATAAATACTCATATGCAGTATGCCAGGTCAATGTACGATAGAGTACACGTCCATGACAACATTCCCTCTTTACTTGCCTTGCAATCACCTTTTCACAGTAACTACCAAATCCACAGGATAGAAAGGGAATAAATGGTATACCATAAAATAGCTGCACAATGAAGTTGATTGATGGTCGATTCTAAGGTGTAATAAAAAAAACAAGGACAAAAGGTACATACAAGATACCTAGATCTACTGAAATGGGAGTTAAACTTACACATGCTTGTCGCTAAGTGGTCATTTTCTTCAATAACAGTTATAATGTGAATAAACTTACAGGATCGATAGTTCCATTTATGAACAATGAGTAAAAAAGAATTCCATCTCCTCTGTGTGGCTTCACTTTCAAACCAATGCAATCTTTAAAATCATAATTGAAATCTAAGTTGTCATTCTGCATAAAAAAAAAAGGTCAGCGACATCTAAAATCACTAGTCAAAAGCAAGAACAGAGTACTCTAGTAATTCCTAGTAATACCTCATAAGGAAACATGGTTTCTCCACCTTCTTCAACATCGGATAAGTATAGCAAGAAAGAAGCAACCTGCAGCAAGGCTAAGTTATATACTTCACTCCCAAGAACCAAAAAATAAACAATAGAAAAACATGATTACTAGGATGGCAGTTTGGAAACAAAAAGGAAAATCGATAAGAAAAGCATGATCCCCTGCCAATTCATAAAATCTTTTCCTCTTGCTTTTAGTAACCAACAAAAGTTCGAATTTTCATCTTTCTTGTTGGGCAAAGGAAAAGTCTGTTATAATCGTATATTATAAAGCACTAGTTATGCATGTCCTTACTAAAACATCTAGGCATGCTTGAGTTTATGTAAGACACAGTAGAAAAAATATTAGTTAAGCTGTTTGCTTGAGATGATCTACTCAACTGCCTTCTCCATACCCTTTGACTTTTCTGCGGACCATATTCAGAAGGATTGAATGCATCGTAATGAGAATTATACTTTTGCCCGACCTCGTAGCGTAGGACATTGTATGCCTAAAACAAGGTGATATCTTTGAATTAGACAGTAATAGAGTTTACCTGAAATAGCAGATTATCTATCTTAATAAAACAGCATACACATTCACGCAAAAACATATGTAGAAGCTGAATGAAGCAAACACAGTGGCAATGTCAACGGAATATCAAAGCAAAGAGGAAACAGGCAAGAACAAGTACCATAAAGGCATTTATAAAAAAAAAAAAAAGGCCAACCCTTTTTCTATACCTTGCTATTATGGAGAAACTAATTTGTGTAATAGACCAGTCAATGTACAACAATTTACAATAGTCTCACACTGAATTTCCTCAGCATACAACTATACAAGACAATCAATTCTTGAAGGTGAATATGACAGTAATGCCTTAATGGAACTCTGAAATGAGTTATAATCCAGAGAGTATCACTTTATTAGCATTAAAACTATATGATGTGTATGATAGAGTTGAAATAATCCAACAAATTTGGAAAGCTAAAATTGGCTCCCTAAGATAGGCATATAACTAATGTCATGCTATCACATCCGCTTAAAATAATATCATTGACAGAGGCACACAGCTTTCTCACATAGTAACATACAAGGTGATGCAACCAAAAAAAAAAACCCCATCTAGTCTTTAATTTCAGGGTTAATTCCATTAGAATTTAGGCATTGGATTTTCCTTCCACTCAGTCGACAGCAATTAGATATGACTCTCATTTACAAGTCACATACTCACATGTGTTAGCTCTCTATAGAATTTTTTTGAAAGTGGAAATTTCAAAGAACATCTCAAAAGACCCACATAAAAATTATAAAAAGCACACGCAAAGCTAGGAAAAATGATTTTGAAAAGCAATGATGGGTAAGTAAAACAGGCAACAACTCAATCAATAGATTAAAACATAATTATACTAGCCAGTAGAAACTGAAGGATTGAATGCAAGGTATACCTCCCCATTTGACCTGGGAATCATGGTGGCCCTTGCAATTTTCTCATCAATTAAATCAAAAATTCCAGTTTTGTCTTCATCCGCGCTAATAAACATCCCAGAACTGGTGGAAAAACATGGTGCCGCACAAACTTCAGTATACATACAAAAAATTTAATTCAACATTAAAGAAAAAAGTTAATATAACAAATACAAGTATAAAAATTACTCCATCCGACCCTTTACTACGTGCCTATTTCTCTTTATTATGTGAGTAATAAATGTTAGAAATAGGCACGTAGTTAAGGAACGGAGGGAGTATTAACAAGCATTGTAGTTAACATCATAGTATTTCTAAAAGGCATAGATGCATTTATGTAACCTCAACTTGATATTGGATTTTACTTTAGCATATATTTTTTTAAAAAGTGAGAAAGATTACAAACACAGATTAAAATTCCAGGTCAATTATATGCAATTAACACTACATCAAACCTTGTTCTAACACCCTCCGTACTCTCCATGGTCTCTCCTTTCCGTAAAGCTAACTTTGATGGCCGGAGTTGTGCCTTTGCCATACTGATGATACTTTCACATTGCTCTGCATTAGCAAAGTTAGGAAAGTATAATGCACGTGGTCTCCAACTCAATACCTGTACAAGAAAGACAATTACAATAAGCTCACAATTACAGAATAAAAAAAATCCCAATTTCTTTTCACGAAGATCAAATTTTAAGTTGTGCTTTCAGTCAGTAAAAGTGGTAAGAGATCTAACAGAGAGCACAGAAAGCCAATACATTGATCACATTACATCAGAAAGTCGGAATACCAAGGACAGAGGAAAAATACATGTTAGGGAAGGGATAGACTTGATTCTTCAGTATATACACAAAAGATAAATTAAAGGCCATGTCAATCAAAATATGTAATATTAAGCCATGGGTTGTTTCTCATAAATGTATACTCTCACTAACACATAAACATTATTTGTAAATTATCCAAGACCGGACTGTCACTTACCTCATATTAAAGAGTGTATTAACTTTCCTACATTCCCTTGAGTACCCTCCACAACAATTTTGTAATTTCTTTTAGGTAGAGGATATCTCTAATAAACATTACCAGCTAGAAGATTCAGGCATGTAACAACATGAATCTTTGACCTTTGTGTTTCTAATCATCGTTCCAATCTCTTACATCCTAGTCTCCTCATATCACCTACATAAGTTCCCACATTGTCAAAGATCCTTGGCATAACGGGCAGTTCAAACTTCAAACAACTAACTAACAGATTAAATCTACAAGTTTTGACATCCAAGTCAATATATACTCTACAAGCACATTAGATTTCCAGTCATAAAATCCTTCAACATAAAATACACGCACTGCAAAACTCTCATGACATAAAAAGCCTTCGTGTAACGACAAAAAAGGCTTAACTTGTGTACAACAATTTTATGCAAATATGGATTATGGAGTGTAAGCAAGTAATATTGTTACTTATTACAGTACCTTTTATAAACTCTTCAATAGTCAACTAATTTGATCTCCCTCCTCCTCTATTTAAGTTGACTAATGACCATTGATAATTCATGATTGAATGGTGACTGATAACGTTATGTTATGTCAAATCTAACAGTATTTTACTGAAAAGGAAATTTCAACAACTTCGTAAGTTCGACAAGCTCAAAATCAATCTTTGGAGAGCCAATTGTGCAAACTTATAACCACACTTATGTCTCAAAATATCCTCAACTAAGCATTAGTTAGTTAAATAGCGAAACAGAATTTTCAAAGAACTACTGTAGCGTTTAACAGCAGGAAGCGGCGGCAGCGGCAATAGCAAATCTCATTATAAAGCTTAATCAATAATAATTCCTCAAATCAATTCCTCGATATTCAGACATCTTCAATCAAACTCTTTTACTTCCTACAAATTAAAATTGCTTGATGCTTCCACACATACACATTACATACATGTAGCACCGTATCAGACAAAAATAAGGTCGAAATGTAATTTAAGTAACATCGATACACTTCAATGAAAACAATACGAATTCGGATTTATACAATCAATCGTTATTTATTTATTAATTTTTCCTTTTGTGATCAATAAAAATAAAAATCAGAACAAAAAATTCCTCAAAAACACTATTTATCTCCTTCTAATTCAAAAAACGAAATCAACTTCATCAATTTCCCGCCGTCGTCAAATTCAACTGAGAATAATGATAAATTGAAGATGAGTGTTGTGCGACAGCGGAAGCAAAGGTCGTAAACAAACAAGAAAACAATAAAGAAATTCAATGCAAACAATAAGAACAACACCAAGAATTTACGTGGTTCACTATCGATGTGATAGCTACGTCCACGGGCACCGAGATCGAATGATTTCACTATAAACTGGCAAAGATTACAAAGATTACAATGAAGAACTTAATCACTCAAAGTATTCTCTCTCTTGTGTTTCTCTCTCCGTTACCCTAATAATGATAATAGGAAGTTTATATAGTAGTGATTCCTAATTAAGATATACTTAGGTTACAATATCACAATATGATAAATATTAAATTCGTAATCGCTGAAAAAACCCAGATCGCCCGGTCGGGCGAAGGCCCGCCCGATCGGGCGCGAGAACACGTCTTTTCCAACAACCGAAGTACTCCAAAAAACCCCTTCCGCCCGGCCCGATCGGGCAATGTCCGCCCGATCGGGCGAAGGCTCGCCCGGTCGGGCGAAAGCTCGCCCGGTCGGGCGCGCGAGAGCAGCTTCTTCAACGAATTTGCCAGGCACCTCTTCTTCTTCCGCCCGGTCAGACCGGGTAATGTCCGCCCGATCGGGCGGACAAAGCAACGAAGTACGAGTCACCTAATACTTATCAACAATCTCCACCTTGACGAGAACTCGTAGTCAGCAAACGACCCCATCAAGACATAGTGAAAAAACATCTCAAGCCAAACCCGATGCAGGACTCATGCATAAGCCATACATCCCGATAAGTCTTCAACCAAGACCCATCACATACTCGTCTCCAAGTATAACAACTCATAATGCTCCACCTGCATCACAAGCCCCGGGCAAGCTCCACCTTAAGGCCAACACACCTACACCAGGAGCTCCCCAACTTCGCCCCTCAGGGCCTACTACATCACGTAGTAATCAATATTTAACAAGTCTAAGCAATGTTTAAACTTGCTAAACGGAACAGGCTTAGTGAAGAAATCAGCCGGGTTGTCAGCAGTCCCAATCTTCTTCACCTTAATCCTCTTGTCAGTACGTAAGAAATGATACCTGACATCAATGTGCTTCGTCCGATCATGGTGTACTTGATCTTTAGCTAAGCAAATCGCACTTAGACTATCACAATACACTGTAGCAAAATCCTGTGCAATACCCAGTTCACCTACTAGGCCTTTGAGCCAAATAGACTCCTTAGCTGCAGAAGTTAAAGCCATATACTCAGCTTCAGTAGTTGACAACGTAACTGATGACTGCAATGTAGACTTCCAACTAACCACAGAACCACCCAAAGTGAACACATAACCAGTCACAGACCTCCTGGTATCCACATCAGCTGCATAATCAGAATCACTGTACCCAGTGACCAAGCATTCCTTATCATTCCCGTACACAAGACCAATATCAGCTGTCCCTCTCAGGTAGCGAAAAATCCTTTTCACCCCTTGCCAGTGTTCCCTCCCAGGTCGAGCCATAAACCTGCTTACAACACTAACGGCATGCGCAATATCCGGCCTAGTACAGACCATAGCATACATCAAACAACCAACCGCATTTGCATATGGAACTCTAGACATATAAGACAACTCCTCCTCTGATTGAGGTGACATAGACAAAGACAACTTACAACTAACAGTAGTTGGCGTACTTATAGGCTTCGATTTTTCCATCCCAAAACGAGACAAAATCTTTTCAATGTAGCTTTTCTGAGTCAAGAAAAGCTTACCTCTAGCCCGATCCCTGTAGATCTCCATACCCAAAATCTTCCTAGCTGCACCCAAGTCTTTCATGTCAAACTCCGAGTTAAGCATCTCCTTTAATCTAGCAATATCAGATTTATTCTTTGTGGCAACCAACATGTCATCAACATATAACAAAAGATAAATCATGGAACCATTATCCAGCTTACTATGATACACACAGCAATCATATGAATTCCTGTCAAAACCTTGTGAAACCATAAAAGAATCAAACCTTTTGTACCACTGTCGGGGGGATTGCTTAAGTCCATACAATGACTTTAGCAATCTGCAGGCATAGTGTTCCTTTCCAGGAACTTCGAATCCTTCGGGCTGCTTCATCAGAATCTCCTCCTCCAAATCGCCATGAAGGAAAGCCGTTTTAACATCCAACTGCTCCAGCTCAAGATCAAAATGTGCTACAATTGACAATAACACACGGATAGAAGTATGTCGAACCACAGGTGAGAATATCTCAACAAAATCAACCCCTTCTACCTGACTGAACCCCTTAGCAACTAGCCTAGCCTTAAAACGTATTTGCTCAGTTTCCGACAACCCTTCTTTCTTCTTGTAAATCCATTTACAACCCACAAGCTTCCTCCCTTCCGGTACCTTTACCAGTTCCCACACTCTGTTCTTGTAAAGAGACTGCATCTCTTCACCCATTGCGGCAAGCCATTGCGCAGACTCACTACAACTAATTGCTTGTTTATATGTGGCAGGTTCAAATGACTCTACATCATCAGCTACACTCAATGCATAACCTGTCATCGCATCAACACAGCAATTTCTTCCCTCCATCTCTTCAATCAATCTAACAGGCTTCTTGATAACTCGTTTAGGCATCTCAAGAATGGTGTCAGGTTGACTAGATGACCCCTGATTAGATTGCTCCACCTCATCCCCAGAGTTAGAATGAGTAGGAGTAATCTCAGGTTCAGGAGTACCCGGCACTGGAACATCAGCATCATCATCAATATATTGTACCCGAGGTAAATCAGCAATGGTAGACTGATGTACCTCAAGTACCCCATCTGTCTGTAATAAATTGTCTCCTTCCCTTCTCAAATCTGAAATCTCTGCATTTTTAATTGAATACATGGTGTTTTCATCGAAAGTAACATCCCTACTAAGAATGACCCGACCCTCCGAAGGTGAAAAAATTCTAAACCCCTTCACACCATCCCCGTACCCAACAAAACACCCCTTCTTGGCTCGTGGATCCAGCTTACCCTCAATAACATGATAATAAGCAACACAACCAAAAATCTTCAAATTCGAAAAATTAGGCAACTTACCACTCCAGATCTCAAACGGAATTTTGGAATCAATTCCAGAATGAGGACCCCTATTAATGACATAACAAGCTGTTAACACAGCTTCACTCCAGTACCTCCTCCCAAGCCCTGCATTAGAGAGCATGCATCGGACTCTCTCTAGCAGTGTCTGATTAACCCGTTCTGCTACACCGTTCTGCTGTGGTGTCTTCCTGACAGTATGATGCCGACCTATACCCTCATCTGCACAGAACTGATTAAACTCGTCTTTGCAAAACTCTAGCCCATTGTCCGTTCGTAGCTTCTTGATCTTCCTTCCTTGTCGATTTTCCACCAAAGCTTTCCATTGCTTGAAAACTTTGAAGGCCTCATCCTTTGACTTAAGCAACCTAAGCCATGTGTATCGGGACTTGTCATCAACAAATGACACAAAATAGTGGTAACCTCCCATACCTTCAACTCTAGATGGACCCCAGCAATCTGAATGGATGTAATCGAGCACTGCATCAGTAATGTGAGCACCCTTGCTGAACTTTGACCTGTGTTTCTTACCAAACACACAATGCTCACAAAATTCAAGGTTGGCAACCTTGACCCCGGATAGAAGACCCCTCTTGGACAATAGCTGCATCCCCTTCTCCCCCATATGACCAAGCCTCATGTGCCAAATCTTAGTCATCTCCTGGTGAGATACAGATGCGCAAACCGCAGAACTAGGCAGTGTAACACCCTCAAAAACATAGAGGGTGTTCCTTTTGATACCCTTAAGTACCAACTCAGAACCTCTGAAAATACACAACTCCCCATCTGAAAACACACCATTGTACCCCAATTCATCCAGGGTACCCAATGAAATCAGATTCTTTCCTAAAGCAGGAACATGCCGTACATTAGTCAAAGTTAACCTCCGCCCATCAACAGTCCTCAACCTCATGGAACCAATACCTGTGACCTTACATGGAGCATTGTTACCGACTATAACCATACCCCATTGCGAGGTTCATATGTATCAAACCAATCTCGACGTGGACACATATGGAACGAACACCCCGAATCTAGAACCCAGTTATCAGATAAATCATCAGACCTAGCAGAACTGACTAATGCTAAATCTTCCTCTGAATTATAGCTCTCATTCGGTTTCTCTTCAACTACAGCAGCCTGGGACTTGTTTTTCCTCACCGGACAATTATTCCTAAAGTGACCCGGTTCTTTACAGTAATAACATGTTTTAGTAGTAGTTTTACTAGATCCATCCTTGCCGTTTCCAGCACCCGACCCAGCATTGTTCCCCTTGTTAAACCCCTTATTCTTTTTAGACTTTCCGGACTTAACAAATAACCCACTACCATTATCCCCATTATCACTCGTAGCTTTCATTCTGAGTTCCCTAGTATGAAGTGCTGCCTTCACTTCTTCTAAGGTTATAGAATCCTTACCAACAACAAAAGACTCTACAAAATTCTCAAAGCTAGACGGTAGAGATACAAGTAAAATCAACGCAGCATCCTCATCATCAATTTTAACATCTAAATTACGTAAATCAAGCAAAATAGAGTTAAGTTTTTCTAGATGTTCCCGTAAGGAAGTACCTGACTGCATCCGGAGGCTAAACAACCGCTGTTTCAGTAATAATTTGTTGGTCAACGACTTAGTCATATACAATGACTCCAGCTTCAGCCACAATCCAGCCGCCGTTTCCTGATCAGCCACCTCCGTGATGATTTGATCATCAAGACTAAGTAATATGGTAGAGTGTGCCTTCTCTTCCATAACTTCTAACTGCGAGTCAGTCGGTCCGTCTCCTGACTCCGAAGTAGTACTCTTTGGAGCCAACGGACGCCATATCTGCTGTTGTTTTAACAGAGCCTTCATCTTAATTTGCCATAGCCCGAAACTATTTTTCCCGGTAAACTTCTCAATTCTTATTGTTGAATCTCCTGCCATTGTTATCTTCAAGAAACTCTCCAAGGATTGAACCTGAGCTCTTGATACCAATTGTTGTGCGACAGCGGAAGCAAAGGTCGTAAACAAACAAGAAAACAATAAAGAAATTCAATGCAAACAATAAGAACAACACCAAGAATTTACGTGGTTCACTATCGATGTGATAGCTACGTCCACGGGCACCGAGATCGAATGATTTCACTATAAACTGCAAAGATTACAAAGATGATTCTTGTATTTCTCAAGAACGGCTCTCACTCTGTCTCTCTTCACCCTAATACTGATATTAGGGAGGTTTTATATTAATCCCTAATTAAAAGATACTTGGGCAAAAAGATAATAAAATAAGATAACCTAAAACCGCAAAATCCGCGTTCCGTATTTTTCCTTCTCCGCCCGGTCAGACCGGGCAAGGTCTGCCCGATCGGGCGCGAGAAGAAAACTCCATACGAATGCTTCAACGTATCCAACCCCCACCGCCCGGTCAGACCGGGCAAGGTCTGCCCGATCGGGCGAAGGCTCGCCCGGTCGGGCGCGAGAGCAGCTTCTTCAACGAATTTGCCAGGCACCTCTTCTTCTTCCGCCCGGTCAGACCGGGTAATGTCCGCCCGATCGGGCGGACAAAGCAACGAAGTACGAGTCACCTAATACTTATCAACAATGAGAGAGAAAACCTGGAAAGGAATGGAAGTAATAGAATCATCGCCGGATTCTCCAGAAGGAACAAGATCAAGTGTTGTCGTATCTTCAACATCCGTCGATTCAAGCATTCTCTGTCTTAATCCAGCACTCGAAGAAATCTTCCGATCACAAAAAAAAATCATCAAAAAATTACATCCAATGATTCAAACAAAACTGCAAAAACAACGAAGATCAAAGATAAAAATACCTGAAAAATGAGTGTACAAGAGAAAAATCCAACAATAAAGAAGAAGAAACAGAGGAAAAATACAGTCGGTAACCCCAGATTACGACCGGAGTTCCAATTTCCTCGTCCTTTTACTTTCATTTGATCAAATTGATCAACAAATCAACCCTAATTTTTTCCAGAAACTTGAAATTTCTTTCCAACAATCGGAGTAACTAAGTGTGAAGAAATGAAATTAGTTGGTTATTCAAAAATGTAAATATATAGAAGGAAAGAGAGTGTTGGAAAATGGATTATAGAAGTATTATCCGAGGCAAAGAACGCGGCAACATCGGTTGAGAGTGGTGTGGTTTGAAAAGAGTTTGGTTAATTTTGTGAGAAAAATGGAGTTTCATTTATTACAACTTACAAATGTCAGAAAAATAGCACGAGGAAAAGCCGGTGAGTCAATTACAAATCTATTATTTTTATCACAATTAGAATTTTCCGTTCGACTTTTGTCTCTCTCTTTTTCCACTATATATGCTCTTGTATTATTGCAAATCTTAATGGAATGAATAACTGATTTAAGTATTTTATAGCTGCAAAAAAAAATTATTTTATTTCCTTCTTTGTCTCTAGGGTCGTTCAATGGTCAGACTGGATTAAATTGAAACACTTTTAAAATCGGAAATTCGGAATTTAAATGAATTAAAATAGACTAAATTTTAGATATTTCGAACCAATGTTACAAGGTTTGATACATACACTTGCATGTTGCATTTTGGGCCCAAAGCAATGCACTATTTCATGAGCAAATCAAGGATTTGAGGCAACTACGTAGTACTTGGTTTAGTGGTACGGATTGTCTCCTCACAATCATGAAACAGTGAGATAAATTCCCACTAAAGCCAATTAAGGGGTGGGGATTCCCTTATCCTTCACTCCAAGGAGCCTTGTCTGCTTCAGACTCATTTGACCCGTGACTTCTCTCTTTAAAATTATAAATACATGTAATAAGAGAGACATTTTTTTAAAAAAAATATTAAGATAATCGGTCTAAGTTAAAGTTCATGAAGTATTTCGTATTATATATACTTGTAGAATATAGAAACACTCTGTATATTTTTATTAGTGGAAGATATCAAGAATAATTCTTTTTTGGCAATTTGAATATCAAGTGTAAAATATAATTTTACCAATATTTTTAATGATATTATCAAAGTATCACTTTAATCTAAAAAGTCCATAAGTCCTAACTTGAGCAGCACCCTGAAAAAGCTAATCCAAAAAAGATTATTGTCATCTATATTAAAGCTGACTAGCTAGCTAGCTAAGTGCATAAAAAATGCCACATTACCACATTGGTATGGTAATCAGGTAATGTGCGTGAATTGATCTGATGAAGACCATGTTTTTAATAAAGCATACATGGTAAACAAATGATTTGAGTTTACTTCAATTAGCTTTTAATATGAGATAAGAAAGCTATTATTAACATCAAACTTTTAAATATTTTTCCACCTAGAGTATAGTAATGGGGTTAAAGCTAAGAGCTAGAGCAACGATCTATTCAGTGGTGGGCTCTGGGTAGTCCTTTTTCTCCTCTTCTTTTGACTTTTGAGTGTCTGTAAACTATGCAGTTTCTGTATTAGAATAACTAGCTTTACAAATCATTAATTAATTGAATGATACTTTTAATTAGTGCTTGTGGTAGCTAGATGTGATACACACTTGTATTATTATCCAATTTCCAGTGTAACATCAAAAAACATATCTAATTAATGACAGTGTTTGCAGCCTACCCTTCATAAATTTAGCCCTAATTCAATATCAATTCATCATATTAGTCTCGTGACAAAAAATAAAGATGACAATAAGTCGTATCAGGTGATCCACTTCAAAATAATAATATACTGTAGGATACTATAATACTATAATGTTGTATTACTTCTTAATAAACATATATATACACCATACTTGTACATAAAAGTTTCTACAAAGTCATAGTTCAAATAATGATTAAAAATTATATTTTGGACAAATGATAAAATTAAAAGTAAGTGAAAACTAAAGGAGAATATAACTATGAAAATCTAGTACTCCACACTATCATTATCAACAAAAGCCTAACAGCTTTGCAGCTAACGTACTACGTATAATCGATGTGGCCTACTGGAGTGGCTAGTGTGGCCAACCAATGCAAAATAAGCGCAACTCAGCATAAATCGAGAAAAAAAATTAGTTCACCACTCAAACTAATGTAATACTGGCTAATTTTTTATATTTCAGCACTCAAAAAAATTAGTAGTATACGGGATTTAATCAAGAAAGAGTGATCTATGACTTACATGTATAGCCGACTTTCATGGATTTAATTTAATGGAAGTTAATTCAATTCTAATCTAGTTTAATTTGTTGTTAGTTAAGCTATGGCTATTAAAGGTAGTGGAGACAACTTCTGGTGGGAAAATAATTTGATTATTAGTAATAACAGAACCAAAAGAAGGTTTAGATTATAGTTAATTGGTTATTGTAGATCTCGTAAACGTGCGGCTGATTCAGCTACCACATAACTAATTTAATCTATACGAGGTTGACCTTTAATTTGTAGACTTCTGCAAACTGACTAGTGCAAATCTAACATCAGTGATAATATCATAAAAATAGCAGCATATGTACAAAATTATTTAAGTGACGTTCGGGCCTGTTCTCTTCACCTTAATTTTAATTCAGTTCATTTCAGTTCAGCTCCAATCAGTTCAATTCATAATTTCCTTCTCTCATAAACAATTCATTTAAGTTTAATTCAGTTCAGTAAATCAGAACAGACCCAAAGGCTACATAAAACCTACCAATTTTAGTGGATGAGATTTGTTAATTTCTTTCTAAATTCTTAATTCTAGTATATACTACACTTTGAGTTGTGTGAAAAAACAAGTTAGGCCCTGTTCACTTCACCTTAAAAATATAATATTCAATAAAATTAATTTCAGTTCAGTAAAAATATTTCAATTCAGCAAACATAAGTTCAGTTCAACAAAAATAATTTCAATTCAGTAAAAATAATTTCTGTTCAGTAAAAAACAGTAAAACTTAAAGAAGAAATATAATAGAAAATCAGTAAAAATTATTTCAATTCAGCAAAAATAATTTCAGTTCAGTAAAAATAATTTTAGTTCAGTAAAAATAATTTAAGTTTAGCAAAAATAATTTCAGTTAAGTAAAAATAATTTTTGTTTAGCAAAATTAAGGTAAAGTGAACGGGGCCTTAGTGACCTGGGCGATGCCCCTGATTTTTTTTTTTTTTTTTTTTTGGGGTATGGAAGATTGTGGATATCTCACATAATTTTATTTTATTTTGTTGGTATATATAATACTTTTTCACATCTGAAAAATATTTAACTTTGATAGGAAAACGTTCAATAAATAAATCACATTAAATACATATCGGTTATAAATTAAATGGGTCAAAGCAATTTAAAAACATTGTAATTATTGTAATTATTCATCGTTCTAATTGAGCCCAAAATAAATACAATCAGTTACAAAACTTAATTTGGGTGATGAAAATTAATTTAATTTTTTTTTTGTAACAACTGATTTAATTGATTTATTATACAATCAATACTATAATACAATTAATTTATCATACAATTTATTCTACACATATTTAACATGTACATGCAATGTAATTGCTTATGTGGCAAATTTGATGACGTGGCTAAATAAGAAAAAGAAAGTGACACGTGGCGATATGACACTCCTTGCCTTTGAGTTTTAATAATAATATTGATATGCATATTTAGTGAAAAATTTATGCACATTTCATCATTCTCATTCTTCTCATTTTAAGAAACTTCTCATTGGATCCCACCCTATATACATATACAAAGTATATATATATATATATATATATGTTCGGGTTGGTGAGTGCACAGCAAAAGCGAAGATGTGTTTGATTGAGAGGTATAAATTGAATTGATAATTGGCAAGATAATTAATATAAATGAACACACGATTTTATGTAACGACGAGCACTTTTATTCCAGTATTTGAAAGTAGGAGAGTACAATAACCCTTGAGAGGGTGAGTATTACAAGAGAACTCTCACTATAAGAAACTCACAAAGGAGTATTAAAAAGTAGGAATAGTGGATTCGTAAAGAAGGTAAATAGTACAAGGAGGTGTAATATGTAGGAAGGCTTGTTTATGGTATGACTTCTTGTGTTGTGTTGTATTTAATGATTGAATGCCCATGACCTATATTTATAGGTGTAGATGGAGCTTGGAAGAAATGGCCGGAATATTCTAGAAATTCCTCCATCATGTTTGTATCCATAATATTCTAGAAAATTCACAAACCATTTATTATATTCTAATACCTTCCAATGTCAATAATGCTCTAGAACATTCAAGTAGGATATTATTCTAGAGAAATCAAGAGCAAGTAATGACCTTGCTTGATTATTCCGAAAGCCTCTAGAATATGCACAATACTCCACCAAAATAATGGGCTTATAAAATTTGGGCCATACCCAACAATCTCCACCTTCGACCAAATTTTATATTTGTGCTCGTCGTATGTTACCTAATCAACATTAAGTAAATATATTAATATAGGTAAAGCAGCGGAGTGGACTAATGAGGAACTGGAGGAGACTGCTGAAGTAGTGGGATACGGAGCTGTAAAGTAAGTATTTGAATTCCTTTTTAAAGTCCCTTCCATGATACATTTATTCATTGCAAATTTGCATCACTTTCGAGATGTGTATGACCAACAAGTATTTAGTTAGTTACTATGGTAGGACAGGATGATCTGCTTCAAGGTTTATGACTGAGTTGTAACTTGGAACCTAAAATGCTCACCCTAAACTCTTGAGTACTAACCCTGTCACACCTTAGTTTTTCCAATAATTTCATATGAACAAAGCCTACAATATCATGAATTGATAGTTAGGAAACTTTCATCAGCTACTTGCCATAACAGCCTTCTAGAAGAGGTTTTGTTTTACTAGACTGTTCACTTTCACACTTTCACCTAGCTCACCAAACTCTTTACATTAACTTGCTAGTCCACCTTTGTTGTTCTTTACTCAGCAATACTAGTTTCCTGCAGAATACTCTACTGTTCCTTGTGTAACATATGGTGCACTATTGCACTATAGGCTATAACATTTTTTGAGCACCTTTGGAGACTTTGAGTGTTCCACCTTGAGCCGAAATCTTATATCTTTTTGAGTCCAGAATGGCAAAAGAGATGATATTCTTTTTCAGATCAGGAACATGATGAACATTAGACAAAGTCCTGATCACAACATCTTGCGTCTTGATCCGTACAGAGCCAACACCACGAACTTTGCAATGATAACCGTTACCCACTATAACAGTTTTATTCTTCACCGGCTGATAGTCGGTAAAGTGAGACTTTTGAGAACAAATATGGTTGGCAAAACCCGAATCAAGTACCCAGTCAGAATTTTTATTTCTTCTTGGTGAAGTAGCTCAGAGAACTTCATCGTCGGACTCTATTCTCCAAA